GGATAGAGACCAGGATAGAAACGGGATAGAGACCGGACAGAGCTGGGACAGAGCCCGCTCCCTCAGGACAGATCGGGACGGGTCCCGCTCCCTCGGAACGGGCCGGACAGAGCCCGGACCGGAGCGGACAGCCCCGGCTCCCTTCGATCGGACAGAGCCCGGACAGAGCCCTCGGAACGGACTGGACTGAACAGACCCCGGGCAGAGCCCGCTTCCTTCAGCCGGGCCCCATCCCGCTCCCTGATCCCATTCCCGCTCCCTGATCCCATTCCCGCTCCCTGATCCCATTCCCTCTCCCCGATCCCTTTCCCGATCCCCTTCCCTTCCCTGATCCCTCCCCGATCCCGGCCTCTCTCCCGGCTCCCTCAGCCCGGCCCGGCCCCTCTCGCCATGAGCTTCCTCTTGTGAGTGCCGGGACCGGGGGGGACCCTTGGGGGGGCTCATGGGGGGGAAAAAGGCCCGTGGGGACCTTGGACTCGGTCTGTGAGAGGTTTTTGGGGTGGAGGGGAAGCGTTTGGGGAGGGTTGGAGGGCTGAGGGGGGGATGGATGGGTTTCTTGGGGAGGCTCTGGGGGGGTTCCTGGGCCGGGGGGGGGGGAGATGGAGGGTGTCTGGGGGGTTCCTGAGGGGAGTTTTGGGTTTTGGGGAAGGTTTTGGGGGGTCAGAGGCCCCTCAAGGAGCTGAGGAAGGCCCAGGACGAGGCCTGGGAGGGCTCTTAGGGGAAGGTTTAGGGGGAAGCCCAGGGTGGGATTGGGCTGGGGGGGCTCATGAGGGGCTGGGGGTTCCCTGGGTGTGTTATGGGAGCAGAAAAACCCTTGAAAAGTTTGCTTAGGGATGGACAAGAAGGGGCTGAGGAATAGTCGGGGAAGAGGAGGAGGAGGAAGCCCTGGAGGGACACAGGGAGGAGTGGAAGAAACCCTGGGGGGAGAGTGGGTTTTTTGGGAGGAAGCCTTGGAAGAAGCTGAGGGGGACAGAGGGTTCCAGGTGGGATGAGGAGGGGGTGGAAGCAGGAATGGGGTGACCTGGAGGGCAGGAACTCCTGGAGAGGGGCTTTGGGGTGTTGGGGACAGCCAGGGACGAGTGTGGGGACCATTTGCGTTTCAGGAGGCTCTCAAGTCACATTTTTAGCAGGTGGTTTCCCACCCCTGTGTAAAATTTGCCCCAGGGACGTGGGATTTTCTTTCCATGACCAGCTTTTTTGGGCCTCTGGGTCAAAGACTTGGGAGTCTTTGGGCCTTTGCACGTGTTTGGGTTATTTCCAAAAGTTTCCAAGTTGGTTATATTATTTTAAGTATATATATATATGTATTATTTTATCTATTATATTATATATAATATAATATATATTATGTAGTATATATTATTATATATTGTAATTATATAATTGCCTATTGTCTTGTTATATCATGTATTATGTAATATATACTATAAATATAAATGATGTAAAATATATTCTATCTAATATAAATATAGAATATAAATATAAATATATAATTATAAACTATATAATGTATTATATATAATGTATATATAAATTATATAAAGTATTATATATAATGTATATACACATTATATAAAGTATTATATATAATGTATGTACACATTATATAATAGATAATGTGTAATGTATCATGTAATAACATATAATATCTAATTATTATAATTAAGATAGTATTATAAGTACTATCTATTATTGTATGTAATAATATATATTATATAATGTGATATATTATATATAATAACATATCTAATATTCTGTATAATATAATGTTATATTATATTATACATTATTTCCAAATATATGCTATTTCCAAGTTTATATTATTTCCAAAAGGACTTGAGGAAATGGCTTCAGGTCACTGGGCTCCCCTCTCCCCAGGGCAGGTTCAGGTTGGATACTGGGGGGAAAATCCTTCCCAGGAAGGGTGGCAAAGCCCTGGAATGGGCTGCCCAGGGCGGTGGTGGAGTCACAATCCCTGTGGATTGTGGCACTTGAGGGCTGGGTCAGGGACCATCAGCAGGGTGGTGGTGCTGGTGGGCGCTCAGTGACCCCCCAGACCTTTCCCAGCCTCAACTGGACGTGTTGTCTCCTCTGTCCCCCAGTGGGAGCCGTTCCTCCAAAACCTTCAAGCCCAAGAAGAACATCCCCGAGGGCTCCCACCAGTACGAGCTGCTGAAGCACGCGGAGGCCACGCTGGGCAGCGGCAACCTGAGGCAGGCCGTGATGCTGCCCGAGGGGGAGGACCTCAACGAGTGGATTGCTGTCAACAGTGAGTCCTCTGAGCTGGGGAAAACCCCCAGGAACCTCGGGCTTTATCCCTGCACAAAGCTGGGACTTCCCCAGGCAACCCTGCTTGGGTGGAATGAAAAGTGTCAGTGGAAAGAAAGGAAGAGACAAACCTGCCCCTGCCATGGTTTTTGGGGGGTTGGGGGGGTTTCATGAGCTCAGGCTCTCAGGGGTTATTTTTGGGGTTGGAAAGTTCCTGTTGTTGGCTGCAAAAGCTGCACCAAATAATCCAGGGAGGAAGTGGAGTCTCATTTCCACCCAACTCCAGCTTTGGGGAGTTCCTTTCTTGTTTTCTGATTCCAAAGCCTACAAGTCCAGTTTGCTTTCAGCAGCTGCTCCCCATGGCCTTGAACTTTTGTTTCTTTGGAGTTTAGAGGAGGAAAAAAGCAGTTTTGAAGGAGGGCAGGGAGAGTTCAGCCTGAGGGAGGCCTCTCCTGTTTGTTCAGAGCAGTCAGGGGTTTGGGGAGCCTGGAACCCAAAGCTGTTATTTCCAAGGATAGGGAATGCTAAGTGAAGCTCCATGCTTTGCACGTCAGGTGGATGTTCGGTTCTTTTTTTTCCAAGAGTTTTTTTGGGTGCCCAGGGATCCTCAGAGCCCATCTGGTGTTCACACTTTGAGTCCCCTTGCTGCCTTTTCCTTCCCAGCTGTGGATTTCTTCAACCAAATCAACATGTTGTACGGGACCATCACGGAATTCTGCACGGAGAGCAGCTGCCCTGTCATGTCTGCAGGGCCCAGGTGAGGGCTCTGCTGGGGGCTGGGGACACATTTCTCACTGGGGACACGGGTGGGTGCCCAGAGCACTCAGGGGTGTGGAGAGAGAAGCAAAGAAGGGCATGGGATGTGTCCCCACGGGCTCCAGG